TATATGTATTTGCGTCCCACGCTAATGTTGATGGAATGCAACATTCTTATCCAATAAGAATACATACTATGTGCAAGTCTTTTCCGGATTTATTCGATATCCCATCTCGAAATATCCAACGACTTGGAACTGTATTTAAGATCACAGCTTTAAAGATATGTTCCAAGATCACCATCTCTATGCGCAACCATATCTTATAGCTATAAATGATCTAGATTTTATCTTAAGTGCAAATATATGATAAATGCTTACTCTTAAAATAAAGTAATGCCTTATTATTTAATATAATTCCAATAGATTGTATTACAAGTAGAATACGTCCAATTTGATTGAAATGCCGGGTATCCTACTCTAACAATAATGACTTAATGTTTTTCAATTATGTGGTTCAAATATTCGTTTAAAATGATTTCGCCTACACCGTCCGCTAATACCCAGCAGTCTGGACATGTGGCAGCCCGGTTGAAATTTCACCATCAGTTCCATCAACAGCAGCAAAGACTGCTCCTCCTACCTCCAGTGAACCCTCTCCACTAAGTGAACCTCCACATAATGGTGGCGGTGACAATGGCGAGGACAATACGGGTGCTCAAAGTACTCAGAAGAGAAAACATACTTCTCTAGTATGGGATTTCTTTGACAAGGTCACTATTAATGGGGAGCCCAAAGCGAGTTGTAAAGTTTTCCAGAAGAAGCTCTATGCACATACTAAAAATGGAACTCATCACTTAATGGAACATGCCAAAAGATGTGCTTGAAAGTCTTCAACAGCAAGTGAAAATAAGACAGTGCATTCTATCGGCTAGCAGGGAATCAGGATAAACAGAGTTGAAGAATCATTCGTATGATCCCAACTTATCCCGACTTCATCTTGCATATATGGTAATCATGTATGATTATCCTCTTCGGATGTTTGAGCAAAAATGCTTTATTGTTTTTGAATACTATACAGCAACATTTCAAGCCAATCTCAAGAAACACGTTGCGCACTGACATTATGAAGTTATTTAGTGAAGAGAAGAAGAAGATAATGACTTTACTAGAGAGAAAGAATAGTAGAATTGCTATCACGACTGACTTGTAGACTGCTAGTAAGCAAAAGAAGGGATACATGGCAGTGACTGCACATTTTATTGATAATTCCAAGAGGCTACAAAGTAGAATCGTGAGGTACATTTTCTAATATTTTGTATAGGCTAATGTTATGATGTGTGAGTGATATATGTATGCTTGTGTTATGATTGCTTCATACTTTGTTTCAATTCTTATGTTATGTGTTTTAATTTAAATGTAGGTTTATGTATGTTCCTTGCCCGCACACAACCAATGTAATTTGTGAGGCTTTGTTTGATTGCTTAATGGATTGGAATATTGATAGTAAGTTGTCTACTTTGACATTGGATAATTGCACCATGAATGATTCTGTTGTTGGCATGCTATCGATATTGATGAACAAGTTCTCTCCTGACTCTTTGTTGTTGAATGGACAATACTTACACATGCGTTGTGCTGCACATATTCTGAACTTGATTGTGACAGACGGTTTGAAAGTAATTGAATCTAGCATTGAGAAAATTAGAGAAAGTGTATACTATTGGACAGCAACACCGAAAAGAGTGGAAAAATTTGAAGAGACCGCACGCCAATTGCATACCAAATGCGATAAAAAACTTGCGCATGATGTTAAAACTAGATGGAATTCCACTTATTTCATGCTTATTTTTGCATTGATGTATAAGTCTGTGTTTCCTCGCTTGAAACAACGTGATCCATATTATAAAATTGTTCCTACTGAGCATGATTGGTTGCTTGCTGCTGAGATACGTGAAAAATTGGAGTGGTTCTATCGTTTGACCAATACATTTTCTTCTACGAAGTACCCGACTATGAACACAATTTTTATGGGTATTTGTGAGATTAGACTTCGGATGAATACTTGGCTTGATTGTGTATATCCGGAGGTGGTGAGTATGGTCGAGAATATGATCCAAAAGTTCAAAAAATATTGGGAGGACATACATGTTATTTTCTCACTTGCTCTCATTTTGGATCCTAGATTAAAGTTTAAAATGATTGATTATTACTACGATAAAATTCTCGGAGCAGATGCTTGGATTGAGAAAGAAAAGATCCGGAGTGCTTTGTATGAATTTGAAAATGCATACAAGTCTAAGAGCATGTTTGGATATAAAAAATTTTGATTTTGTGGGATTTTTTTGCTTTGGTTTGGTTAGTTTTGAACAAAGTAGTATGGTTAATTGTTAGAGGGTATATTAAAATAATATTTAAAATAAAATAATTAAAAATTTTGATGTGATGGTTAGTTAAAATATTGTGAGTGGATGAATAGTGAATTAAAGTTTATGTGGTGTGTATGAATGATTGATTGATATTATTTAATTATATTAATAATATTGATGTTAGTGGGGTTGAGTTAAAGTTGAGTTAAAAAAAGTGGTTGAGTTAAAAATGATGCTGGGATCCGATTCCACAAACCTTATCGTGCCTATGGACATTGAAGAGTATTTAAATGAGCAATGCGATGGTCAAAATGATAAGTCGAATTTCGATAGATACTTGGCGGATAAATTGTTGCCTCAGAATAATGACTTCGATATCTTGACTTGGTGGAAGACATGGGGCATTAGATATAGCACATTACGTTTGATTGCTAGAGATTATTATGCCAATCATGTTTCCACAGTTGCTTCAGAGGCTGCTGTTAGCACGAGTGGTAGAATTGTGAGCAAGCATCGGAGTAGGCTCATCCCAGACACTTTGGAGGATTTGATGTGTTCCCAAGATTGGTTATGGGGAACAATGGATGGTTTGATTTATATTTCGTTCGATGTTTATGAATTGAGTAATTTCATATTTCATAATAAATTAACTTTATTTTTTACTTTTTAATAAATTTTTTTTTTCAGATGGAGCCCCCACATCCTCTTTTCCACCACCTAGAGTGGCTAATGGTGCGACTGCTTTCGATGAAGATGAAGAAGAAGAGGTAAACAAATTAAATTGTTGCTCAATTTTTCGAGTGTATTTTTATTTAAGCAATATTTACAAGTTTTTCTTTTTGCAGGAATTTGTTGGCACAACAATGTAGCTTATTGAGAGACGAAATAAGAGCAAGAGGTAAACAAATTAGTTTTTTGCTCAACTGATTTATTGTATTTTTATTTACACATTATTTACAATTTTTGTAGTCTTATTTTTGCAGGAATTTGTTGGCACATGAGGAGCTAATTTTGAGGGTGGAAAACGGAAATATGGCCTCAAGTAGTAGTTTATTTGGAATATATTATTGTTATGAATTGTTTTGAATTGTAAGGTGTTTTGATTGGAGTGTTGATTTTCTCTAGCTTGTTGTTACTGCTATTTCTCTTTTTTTGTTGTTGTATTAGGTGATGTACCTGTTTTCCTTTATATTTTCCATCTGTAGTGCTTGGAGATTGTTTAGTGTCGTAGGAAGCCTGGGACTTTTCTGTTTCTGTTCAGGTTGGGTTTGTACATGGTCGGGTCGGGTCTGGTCGGGTCGGGCGTAGGGTAATCTGTTGAGATTCGGGTAAGCGGGTAAAAAAAACCCGAACAAATTTGACCGGCAATACTAATTCGGGTAACCCGATTACCCGACGGGTAAAACCCAACCTGAACCCGGTGATGGGTAATCAGGTCGCGGACCGGGTACGAGTACGTTTTTTAACTGACGGGTCGGGTACGAGTATGTCAAAAACCCGTACCTGACCTGACCCATTTACATCTCTAATGCCACATGACAGCTGCGTGAATTACAAAACATGTTTTTATTTATCTCTATTAGTTAAAAACGTACAAGCGCGCGAAATAAGGAATTAAATTAGTCAGTTATTTATTTTCATTTCTCTCTCTTAATCAAGTGCATAAAAAAGAGACGAAAGTATGAAGGATATGATAACTTACTTAGGCATTAATATAGATAAATAAGGTCTTATAGGCAGAGACATAATTATTTTTACTTGTATGGTAAAACTGAAATCAATTTAAATTCATCCAATCTGTTGCTTAGTCATAGTCCGAGTAACCACCAGCCCTCCATGTGTCGTGAACGGATGAGGATGTACTTGACAATTGGGGAGTTGTGATCTCTCGGCTATTAGCTCGGTTAAGCACGGCTTTGACGTGCTAAGGAAGGGATCATGACCGGTAATGGTGCACGCTTACTACGCACGCACGGGAACATGCCGTGATCAGGACTAAGTAACCAAGTCTTAAGCTCCCAAGTACGGATAAGTCTCGGTGTGCAAGTGGTGCGGTGAGTCAACTGCTTGCTCGCACACTTGGCACCGCACGAGCGCACGGGCGATGACTAAGCCCTTGCATGCAAGCCACATAGACCAGTGATCAAGTCAAATGCCCAATACCTCAGCCACGACCTGTACATGTGGCAGCAAGAGAAGTAACGTCATCTTTCACCTCTTTGACCCAAGTTTACCTCTTATGGTAAAATTGCAATCAATTTAAATTCACATAGCATACATATAAATTTCCCTTTTTTATTTTTCAGTCCCAAGTTAACAGCTAGCCCGCCCAACTTCTTTAAAGCACTTGGCCCACACCCAAGACTTGTAAGGCCCAAATCGGTTAGCAAGCCCTACAGCTTCCACGAGACTTGGTCAGCAGCTCCTTCGTCTCCCATTTCCATCAGCGCCACCCTTTTCCCTGAGAAAAATCAGACCAAAAACCGGCGACCAAGGAGCATCATTTTCCGGCGAGACCCCTTGTCTGACGACTGAGCAACGGAACCCACGACCTGGAGCCTCGATTTTCGTGATTGAAGCTCCAATTTCACGGCAATTGTTCTCCGACAGCGAGCTTTAATCCCGAGCAACTACCCCTGAGCTCCGATCTCCGACTGGAGGCAAATATAACCAAGCAGCGTCGACGACCCTGAGCAGCCGCACCCGACGGAGCGCCACCAGACGTCCAACGACAAGGACGGACCTCTTCGACTACCAGACCCGCGGCGAGGCGAGCCACTAGGTGCGGCATCCGAGAGCCACAAGCTCGACGGCGATAAGGCCAGCACACGCCGGCGACCGAGAGCCCCCACGACTGAGTACTGAAGAGGAGCCTTGTTTCCGGCGATTACCAAGCAACGGGCTGCCGGCGAGGAGATTTCAGCGCACCCAAGCGCATCGATTTCAGACGAGGGGGCCCGAGCTACTTCCGGCTAAAGCAGCGACCTTGCGGTCAGCCGAGAGCCAATCCTCCCCGAACCTTGTCCTTTTTCGAGCCGTTCTTGCAGAGGTATATGGCCGAACATCTAGCAGCACTTTTTTTTTTTTTTTGGCTAAAGTTTGTGTGATGTTTTATGCTTAGTTCAGTTTAAAAGCATGATAAATGTTGGTGAAGTTTCGATCCTTTATGAAGTGTTATGTGTAATGATTATGAGAGTTATTTTAAGTTCATATATCGAGTTTGCAAGCTAACCTGGGATAAGTTTTCTGGTGCCTGAAATTTCCGGATCTGTATGATTATGAGATTATCCTGTTTCATTTTTGGATGGAAGTTATAGATCATTGAATTTCTCATGTTCCATTTCTGGGTCACAGCTATTCTCAAGTTTCATTTTGGGTATTGTTTTTCTAAAGCTTATTGTCATGTCTAGGGACTAGTGAATGTAGTTGCTATGTTTCAAGTGCATCCCAATTTATTATAAACAGTTACAAACAGTATGGAGGTCAGTTGATGAGTTCGGTAAGTGAACTAAGACATGCATTAGAAAGTAAGCAAAGAGAAGAGTATGTGTTTGTCTGCTTGTGGCATTGTTTTCCCTGGTGTATGCTTTGCCGTACTTGAACATTGTTGCAGAACTTTGTTGTAGTTGTTTTATGCGTTGTTTCCATGTGTTATTTTTGTTCATAGTTCTTAAGTTCGATTGGTTCGACGGAGCTCAGACCTGTCGGTTCAGTTGAGTTAGAAATTTAGTTTTCAAGCCGAATTTAGAATAGAAGTGAAAGAAGACAGAGAAAGAAAACAAAATAGTGCTTTTAAGCCTTGGGTTTGGTTTGGATATTTTTGATCTATCAGTTTATTTTGGATGAGTTTATGCTTATTTATGCTAAGAGCAGTTGAGTTAGCAGTTGGGAAGAAAGTTCCCGTAAGCACTTGAGTTAGCTAACTCAAACTGAGATCAGCAGAGAAAAGCAGTTTCAGTTTCAGTAAAGTTAAGAGTTAGTAGAAGAGTTAGAAAAATTCATGTGCTTTATTTACTTTTAATTGTCTTAATTGCCTTGTTGCCTTATTTGCCTTAGGTGTTTGATTGTCCTTGCTTGACCTTACATGTTCTTGTTTGTCCTTGCTTGTTTGTCAACACTTCTGTAATAAGGAAAATTATTTCAAACTGTAAATTAAGAGGACTCAAGCTCTCAATCAGACCCACGTGCATTCATTAATTTCAGCTAGTAAGTTTAAAGGTGGGGTTATTTACTATGGTTTATTCTTTATAAACATGTGGTAGTATAGTTCTTATATGCATGTGATTGTTGACCGATGGGCCGAATGTGTGATGTGAACTTTTACCATGGCGGCTTGAAATAAGAGTCACTAGGTCGGGTAATTATCAGTTAAGTTTTCTACTAGCGGGACTGAGTAATGACAATGTCACTAGTAGAGTTATTTATTAGCGAGATCGATTGATGCCGAATGCACTAGTAAGTAAACATACTAGTAACCATACCGTCGTTCATGAATTTAGGTCAACGGCGTATAATAGCTAATCAACCGGGTAAATTGTGGAGGCTTGAAATAATTCACTAATCCGAATTTACTTGGAGGCTTGAAGCCGGTATGATATCAGTCAGCGGTGAGACAATAAGCTTTACATTTCATATGATTATTATCCTATCTGTGTTTATGCTTAATCGATGCATAGTACTGAGCCGATAGACGATGCTCGCTCCTTTGTTTTTCAGGTTGATCGAGCTGGCGGTGGACACGAGAGGACAGGTGTGGTCGGCTTTAATTATGTTTTATATTTTTGTAAACTCTGTTGAAATTTAAATTCAAATTGAATGTTTGAATTACGATTTGGTTAATCGAACGTGTTTATTTTGAAACATTTATTTATGCTCTGAATGTCTTGAAAGAAATAATAATTTTTGAGTAATGTCCGTTTAGTTTATATTGGAAAATGAAAAAAAAACAATTTTTTTCTGAAAATTCATGTTTTGCTTTAAATAAATAAACGGGTGTTACAAGTTCGGTGTCGCTGTGTCGGCTGATAGCTGGTCGGAATCCTAACTCCTCTTTGGCGAAGCAACCTTTCACCAAAGCACAGACGCGTAACCTCCACCGCAACGTGAGACAACTTGCATCTTCCCGGTCTTTCCTTTGGATCTGATAAGACCAGACAATGGGGCTTCTCAGCATAATCCGGAAGATCAAGCGAAAGGAGAAGGAGATGCGCATTCTCATGGTGTAATGACTTTTGGGACAATTTCTTTGCTTTTCTTAACATTTCAGTTAT